TAAACACCAATATTCCCGGAGCTTTTTTCTTTTTCTTCCATCCCAGAATGCCCCCAGTGTGGGGCAGCTTGCAGAATTAAAAATATTTTAAAAATTATTATTATTCCACATTATTATTTAATTCATATTGCAGAGTTAAAAATATTTTAAAAATCATTTAAATCCTGAGAAACTCAGAACAGAGGACTGTTTTTTCTTAATCTGCCTGAATTTCACTGGGCCAAATGGCAAAGTTGTGCTTTGCTTAAATTCTTTCCTCCAATGGAAGAGGAGAGTCCTGTTACTCACAAAAAATCTGAGGGCATCTGAGCGAGGGAGCTCCAGATTTAATAAAGTTTGTTCCTGGGAAAAGGCACTGCCACACTCCTCCTCATTTCTTGCATGTCGGGTGGGGAATACTACCTCTTTTAAATCTTTGTTGCTCTCAAATTGCTTTTCCTAATGTGACACCATTTTCCAAATCCCTGGGGCTACCCTGTGGAGGGCACCAAGTTGGGGAAGGGTGCTTTAGAGCAGCGTTTCCCAACTTCAGCCACTTTAAGACGTCTGGACTTCAACTCCCAGAATTCCCCAGCCAGCACCTTAGTTGAAGTCCACACGCCTCAAAGTGGCCGAGGTCGGGTGATGCTGGTCTAGAACAGCGGATCTTGCAGTTTGTTGGAGAATGTGATGCCATTGTTACCAGAATATTTTTTCTATGTATTTGATGATCTTTCCTGTCTTTCTGTTTGTACAAATCAGTATGACCCCTGGACAAGTATCATAAAGCTATTTGGGAAATGCATCCTGTCCCTTCACTTTGCACCGTTTCTTAATGGATTCTTTCCCCAAAGTTCCATTTGTAAACCTGTTTTTCTTTCTTTCTTTCTTTCTTTCTTTCTTTCTTTCTTTCTTTCTTTCTTTCTTTCTTTCTTTGATCTCCCCTGTTCTTTTCTGCCTAAAAGACAAGCCCATTGTGTCCACTTGCCCCACGGCCATGATGACTGCAGCGGACGTGGGGCAGGGGGGACACGTGCCTTGTGACCCAGGTGATGGGAACGAAGCCCTGTCAGTCACTTTCATGGGAGGCTAGAAATTCTGCAAAACCCTTAAAAAACAACAGGTTCAGTGGGGTCCAGTTCTCTGGAACAGCCCATCGGTGGTCAGATACGTAACAAGGCATCTTAGTTGGTGGGGCTGAATATCACTGAAGAAACTAACCGCTTCCTTTCCATCTATGTGTGACTATATGAGATAGTATTTTAGGTGTATGTTGTATTGTCTAATTGGGGTCTGGAAAAATGGGGCTTTTCAGTGGATTACGCCTCCATAGACTATATACCAAGATTAAAAAGATGTGTTGAAGACGGCATGAATTTGAGGAATATTGGACCCACTCAATGAGGGTTTGGAGTTTTTTTTAAAAGAGTAATGTCAATGACTGTTCACGTTGGCTAGTGATTTTCTTTATATAAAAACGAACTTTACATACAAACTCCTGACTCCTTATGGTGCATCATTTGAGATCCTGCTCTGCAGCACACCTCCAACACCTTAACAGGAGGGATGAATCAATCGCAGCCCTTGTTTTAGCCCTGACACATCTGGAACCGGAAA